GTAAAAAATTGTATGTACTGCCTATCCTTTAATTTGATCTTGGCATAATGTGAATATATAGACAACTATTTTTGAAAGTGCTTCTAAATGCTGATTTGCATAATATCCGGGATTTTTCTCATAGCAACTTTAAAGGACGTTATCTTTAGCATATGGGAATGATTTCATGGATTAAGAACAGCAGTATCTTGTTAAATCTACGGACAAGATTATAGAAGAGGTGTTCTTGAAGTGGTGTATGGATTATTTACTTTGGGATGTCTTAAATATTGAAGAATCATTCTTTTTTTTTTTCATTGTGGTATTTGATTGCTAACGTAGCAAACGGTTGAGTGCTTTCCTTATAAGTTTCCTTGGGTACGGAGTACTGTAGTCTTTATTCAGTTGGAAGTTGAAGTATGCCGTTTTGTAGTTGGTAAGAAGTATGAACTTGAGTAAGGGACAGCATTTAAGTGTTTGGCTGTTGTGTATTATGAATCAATACATCTAGCTCGTTGCTGTTGTCTTTTAATAATCACTAAAATCTCAACTTCCATGTTTACAAGGCTGAGAAACGAATGAGTGCCTTAAAAGCTAGTGAAACCATTTCTGGGAATGGGGTTCTTGAGAAAGAGTTAATTTGGTAGTTAGCAAGGGTAGGGGGGGTTGTATAGAAAGAAAAGTTGCTTCAAATTCTTGTTAATTCATGACAGTTTGGTTAACTCTGTCTTGCACGTGAAGCTGAAGGTATTGTAGAACTGCTTCAGTAAATGGCTGAGGTTTTATCTCTTTTTGTTTCCTGCCCTCCCCCCACCAAAAAAACCCCCCCAACCAAACAAAAAAAAACCCCCCACCAAGTCTGGAATTCATAATAAACTTGTTGCATATGATAAGTCATCAGTTCTTCCAGGTTTCTAAAATTACCAGGATCATTAGCAATTTCACGGTGACTCAGAATTGTTGCTTTGAATAGAAGCCCAGTTTCCCCGCTCCTTTGTGTGGAATCTCGTCTTGCGGGAGAAGAGCTCTCGGCTCTGGAAATCAATTTTTAATTGATCTCTCCAGGTGAGAAAAGCAGCATACCTGAACCGTTAAGCGTTGACTGATGGCAGGAGAACTTGTTAAAGAGGACGGTCTGTGGACGCTTGCTCCTGTCGCTCAGCTCAGTGCTCTCCTACGCAGCCATCGCAGGCTGCGTCTAGCGAGGAGCGGTTTGTTCCACGTTAGAAAAAAGCAAGCTGCTACAGATGTGGCACTAGATTTTTGGGCCTGCCTTGTGAGCAGGGGAAAGGGTGGAAGAGCTTGGTTTATAGGAGAGTTTTTTTTTTTTTCAATTGAGTGATGAAACCGCTATTTCTGGTCACAGGTTGAGCTCATCTGTGCAAACAGGAACAGTTCTTGCACGCCGGTTCTTCCATCTCGCGGCGCTTCGTGCCGCAGAAAGCGTTCTTCGGCTGTCTGAACGAACAAAGTTTTTTTTTTTTTCCAAGCAACGTGCTGCTTCGGCGTGCTTGTCAGAAGCGCGTGTTCAAAAGACGTAAAGTGCTCTTCCCCGGCAATATGAACGCGTTTGCTGTAGCTGTCACTTTCTTTTGTTCCGGGCAAATGAAACCTGCAGATTCACACGTGTGCTGTGCAAGAGGACCGTTTGCTTGCTGCCGCTGGTGTCCTCTAACACGCGATCTGGTGCAGACAGAAGAGTGAGTCAGCAGGGGCGTGCGAATTGCATTCCAGTGTAATACTCTGGGATAATAAGGAAGGTACTTCAGGACGCTTTTATTTAGGTGGAGGAGAAATTGGTTTGCCTGCTTTAAAAAAACAATCGTGTTTTCTTAAAAGCAGCCCTCCCCTCACCCCCACTGGGTGCAGCGTAGAATAATTATTTTTCAGTAACGCTTGGGTTTTTATTCTGTCAGGTTCCAAAACCTCAGAACATACAGTACTTTTATCGAATCGATATCAGTTAATTGATTATACACTGAAATATACTCTTTTTCCATTTGAGAATTGTTTGCTTTGCTGCTGGCGAGTTCTGGAACTTCTCTTGCAGCGCTAGGTATGAATTGCAAATGTGACTTGTGCTTCTGACGCGCAGTTAAGCTCCAGCGTTAGATCGTGCTTTTTATTTTTATTTATTTATTTTTTTTCCATGCGAAAGAGCAAATGCACGTGCCCTGTGCGTGCCTGGCGAGGCTATTGCCCTCCTGAGACACCAGAGCCAAAAGGGGATCGCGCTTTCCGAAAACGTGAGACTGCCCTGGTTATTTTAGAGGTTTTTATCTGTGCCCGTGTGTTTGAGACTTTGGCGTTCGGACCAATCTGTTAGCCTGCAAACTGGAAATACTTGTTGTTAGGATGCTCTGTCCCCTTAGCCTGGTGTCTGCTTCGTTTCCCTCTTGTACCAGCTGGGAATCCTGGACGGTATCTCATTCCTTAGCCTTTCTTAGACTGAAAGTGACCATCACAGGAAAAAGCATCTCAACATAAACTACTATCTCAACTACGGGAAGAAAACGTGTAGTAGAGCTTGCTGTTGTAAATACAAAATTGAGCGAGTTAGGTGGTAATTTTGTGAAGTTTGGGCCTCTTGAAGTTATAGTTCCAGTTGAATTTTGTTTTGGTGCAAAGCCTTGGGTTTCGACATAGCGTGCCAAAATGAATTCATTTTACCCGTATTGCTAGCGTAAATGCCTGTCCTTTATGGAGGAGTGCTGTGTGCAACAGGCTAGTATATTGGATTATTTTGCTATGGTAATTTTATAGCCTTGCTGGTGAGTGCAGGATGCAAATGGAGGTACTTCTGAGCAAATGCTCTGAAACTGGCAGTAGATGCAGGCTTTTGAAATCAGGAAAAAGGGAGCGATTGGGTGTGCTAGCTGAAGTCAGGCAATTCACTGTTAAGTAATAGGCATAAAGCAGGTAGACATGATTTATAACTGATTTCTTATGCTTATGGCAAGTAATAACTGATAAAATAGTAAATACGTAGCTAATTATATGGCACCTTTTGCTAATTTAACAAAAAGGTGTGGACTGCTTGCAGAGTAAAATATGTTCAGAATGAAGTTCAAAGTTTAAGATTTATGTGGTTTGATAGTATCTGAAATTATCGCAAGCTCAGAAAGTTAAGCAACTTAACCCCCCCCCCCCCCCCCCCCAAATAAGATTTTTTTTTTTAAGGTTTGGGCAAGTTCAGAGTAAATTGGAAACCAGTCGTAAACCTTTCAGTATTTGTATTTAAGGTGACTACATGTATGTGGGTTTCTGAAAAACTTTCGTTTTAGTTATTGTCTGCCTAAATTGTCTTTTGATTAGTCCAAGTAATGTCCCTTAATGCTTGGATTACTACACAGTAAATGCTAGATTCGGTTTTTAGGTAGAAAACTTAATTCTGTGTAGTCAGTTCTTTAAAACTTTGCCTCCTTAAGTCTTTTGGTTAATTGAACTATGTAAATACAGAAGTCTTGAACTTAGCCCATGCTGCTCCGATATAAGTACTTAGAGGGATTTGTGGGAACTCTGCAATGGGATAGTGAAGTAGTTTGCCTGTCTTGTATCCTGTTTCAGGGTTTTTTTTTTTGTTTTTGTATACAAGTAACTTGAATATTCATATCTTGGAAGCTGCTGCGGTTTCTTCTAGTCTAACGATGACTCTTCTGCGTGTTGTTACACTTTTGGTGCGAAAGCTAAAGGCTGTACTTGGAATCGTACCGTATTTAGGTTGAAAGGGACCTCTGGAGATGACCTGTTGCAACCCCCTTGTTCACAGGGGGGGCCGACCTCAGCCTTGCTGTGCTTTGTTCTTACTCTTTCTAAGCTTAGTCTGAGGAGTATGTTAATACAGTTGGGCATGGCCTGTTTTCAAGCTGCTAGTTTCATTTCTGTTTTGCTTTTCAGTGAAGCTGCTTCGCTACCCTGCCTTTTTCTAGTAAACTTTAAAACCGAGTTTTTCCTTTTTGTGAGCTCTGTTGGGGCGGGGGGGAAAAAAATCAGTATATCATGACACCACCAGGAAAATAAATAATCATCACTGTCAGGGAATTAGCTGTGCGTTCTCTGCCACATCTGCTCGAGACTTAAATTTTTAATGCTCTTATTTGGCCTTTTTTCTTAGCCGGCCTTGCTGTTTGCTAAGAGGTACTTTTGCTAAGTTCTTTACCTCGGGTTATATTGCTTTACAGTGTGTGAAATGCAGCCGGTTCAGAAGAAATAATTAGAAACTTTTGCCAGAAGGAAGGAATTGGGGTATTTTTAAATAAGCAAGTTTTATAATCCTTCTCAGAGTCTGTAAATTCCCATTTATTGACGTGTCATACATTTAGGCAGTTGGAGCTACCTTAGCAGCTGCTATAATGGTCCAGTATGTAGAAATCACAGAAAATGGTAAAAGCGTTATTGTTCATGTAGCGTTGCTAGGGCTTGCGTGCCCAAAATACAGATTTGTTGTGTGTTTTGCTGTTGTGCGTGGAAAACATATTTTGGGATCATCTGGGGCTTTTGCATAGCTTTTATTTTGGAACGTTTTGCAGTTCAGTCGCATAGGACTTTAATAAAATAAATTCCCATTGGATTTAATATGTCACTCAAACTGTAGATAAAGACTGTAGATAAACAGTATTTATCAGATAAGCAGTTTTAGTGGGATGGCGTATGGGGCAAGCGGACTATTTGACTTTGCTAATCTGGTGGATTGCCTTCCTAATTGATGTTAGCATCAGCTGTCCAACAGTACACGCGTCTAATGCTCTCTCTGTTCCTGGGTTGCAAGGAGGTTTCTGTTGCGGTAGCTATGGTCAAAATACTGTTTTTTTGAAAAGTTGCCCTACTGATGGTTTTCCCCAAGTTTTTTTCTCGACTTTTCTTGAAAAGTTCACTTATTACTTCAAGCATGAAGCTGAACTGAGCGGGTATGGGAGTTGGTCTGAGCTGTTGCTCTGACTTTGAAACGGGAGTATATGAACGTATTTTATTGATGTCCGTTTAATACTGCTGTCGTAATTCCACCTGTTTTACAAATGTTTCCATAACTTGCACATTCAGATATTTATCCAAACATAATTGCTATGGGTTTTCCGGCGGAGAGGCTTGAAGGAGTGTACCGGAACAACATTGATGATGTAGTAAGGTAAGGCTTTCTTTTTCTTAACTTATTTGTGTAAATCTTGGGTAGCTTTTTCTGGGCTTGTTTACGTTCTGCTGAGGAAAGTATGTGTGACCTGACTTAGAAACGGCAAGGTTTGTGCCTCATAGGTACAGCCTTACTATCTTGTTGGAAGCAGTAGAAATGGTATTTTCAGGAATTTTAGCCCAGGCTGCTGTTCTGTGTTGATTTCAAATTCATGGAGTCTACTTTTTTAGGTGAAACTTAGACCTCAGCGTATTGCGTTGGAGTAACAGCGGGTTCTTTGGTCTTAGAAAGAAGTGAATCTCTGAGGCTCTGTTCTCCATACAGGACTGAGTTTCCTTAGGTAGCTGATAGCCTTTCAGAATATATGTTTGCCCGTATTCTTTCTTATTCAGTTGATAAATGAAGTGCTTGAACAAGTTAATTTTGTTTCAGTTTAGTAAAGGGGGCTTCAGATAAAGGCTTTTGCAGCTGGCTGTGTTTTAAAGAAAGGAGAAAAATCATCTGAAATTCCTTATCGTTGACGGCATTTTATCGTACGTTTTGTCAAAACCTATAGTTTTATTTTTAACCTCGAATTATCTACTCTGATCTACTGGACATGGCTTTAGGAGGTGCGCTGAGCAGTTTAAGAGCATAGTTCTAATCTGTTCCCTGAAAATCCTACCTGGAATATGTAGCATGAGGGATTCCATTAAAAATCAAACACCAAGAGGAAGAAGCTGCCAAGTGTTAATGTCTTGAGGATCCTAAGTTCTGTGTTTGTGGGTTTTTTTGCCTTTTTTTTTTTTTTTTGAGTCACTCTGATGCTTTTGAGAACTTGTCCATCAAAGATTATAACTTCAGCAGCTCTTGGAGAGACTTAATTTGAGGGATGGGGGGGCTGATGCGGTAGGGGTGTGATTGTGCAGCAACGTTAGAAATAGCTGTAGCTGGGCAAGAAGAAGCTGCTTCCAGACTTGAGATGCCACAAAGAATTGCTCCTAATCATTGTCAGGCAGAATTTGCTATGCTTGAATTAATACTGGCAATTAGTTTCATCCCACTTTGTACTAGAATGAGTTAAGACTACTCTCTGGTTCCCACAGTTTGGGAATCGTAACCTTTGCTAGAGAATAAGTAATCTGGAGGCTGTGACTTCCTTAAGCAGCTGCAGATAGATTCAGATGAATTTGAGAGGGTTTCATTTTTGCATATTTAACCGTCGTGATGAAGCTTGCTATCCACGAATAGCACTGAAAATGTCCGAATCCGGATTTGACCACATTTGCAGAAGTGACCTTATCTGCCACGCTGCAGGAAAGAGAAGTCACTTTTCCAGAGCTGGTCATCTCAGTGAGGCCCAGCGTAGCAATCTGTAGATGTTCGGGCAGAGCGCGTACATCTCCGCTGGGGTTATCATGGAGGGCACGAACTCGTGTTTTCTGATGGCAAGGTTGGTATCATTTGAAACGGGTTACCTACAGAATAAGCTTTCCCTGTTCTCTTGGGACAGTGTAATCAACCAACTTAACATATGAAGAGGGGTGAATCAGGCAACTGTAGGGACCTGGATGCTAAAGTTGTGTAAATGTTGTCCCGTATTTTAAAACCAAAAAAATACTCAAAGTTGTGCAGCATTCTGCATGTTTGTAGTAATGAGCAGGTCCTCATCTACTTCTGTAGTCCTTTTGTTGCTGGAGAGGAATCTTCTGAAGAGGGTTTTGTGTGGAAATTCAGTGTGTTTGAGATCCGGAGCCGTTGTGCTGAGCTGTGGCGATGTGCCAGTGAACTTTTTTTTTCTGAATAGCTGGCATCCTGATAAATGTAAGGGTAATACTGTATCAGAAGTATAATCCCAACTGCTAGTTGTCTTCCGTTACTTGTACTTGCGGAGGTTTTGTGTGGAATTTAGTCCTTAGAAAAATACTTGTGTGAAAATCCATACTCAGCTTTGCGGATATCATTGGCAGAAGTGCAGTGGCGGTTTCCTTTGCTCTCCAACGCTCCTTAAACAAGTGGGGACATCTCCTGGGGTAAATTGCCGTGTCCACCGTGCTCCTTAATCTCCCTAAGTCTGCCGACAGGGGCGCCAGTGGTAGTTGTGAAACAGTTTTGCAGATGAAATTGGAGTCTCGTGTTCAGGGCTGCCTGAGGAGCGATCACATCTGTTCTTATTTTAACGCATCAGTTTAACCGCAAAGTTCTCCTAGGTTCTTCTGGAATATTATGACTGATAACCAGAGCTTGTTTTTGCTTGAGCTTTCCAGGATTTTAGCAGCTAGTGTTTCTTTTCAATTTGAACAGCATGTTCTGTCATGGCTAATTAAATTCCTTCTGGCTGATGTGCAGATACACACTGTTGATGATGTTAAGTGTAAACATTTGTATGTTGTTTCTTCTTGAGCATTGCCAGGTGACACATCATATATAATCATGGCAATTTTGATGAATCATGTTTGCAGCTTGGCGCTCGGAGGCTTCTGTATGGGAAGTTTTTGTTGCAAAGTTGGCATGAAAATGAAATGAGTGCAAGTGTGAAGAAGTGGAGTGGTCTTGCTCGTTCCTTTTGAGGCCAGAGTATCATTTGGCGCTGTGCTTAGATTTCAGTGGCTAATAATGGCTTTCTTAAAAACCTGGTTTTAAAAGTAAATGGATGTGGCTGTTTTAACTGACTGCTGATGTGCATATAAGTAATTTTAACAGCTTTTTTTTGTCGGAAATACCACCGCGGTAAAATATTTTACACCGATTAAATTGGAAGTAACTGTTTACAGATACTTCATGTAATCAATGACCTTCTGCTTTAAAAATAAACAGCCCTGCCTCAGCTTAATATATTGATGTGCAGATATTTTATAAAAGCAGCACAGATTGGTGCATACGGTAAATATTGCAGATCGTATCTTGGTCTCCTCCGTTGCATAGGTAGTCTTATTCGTGCCGATGGCTTGTTAGTATCAGCAAGGTTTGCAGCATGGCGCCTCTTTGGCTTTGAGGTGCTGCAGGGCCAGCTGGAACTTAGGATGCAAAACTGCCGGCGTTGGATGTTGCTTTAATGATGCTGCAAATCAAAGGTCGCTATTGCAGTGTGTATTAATGTATTCATTTTTTTTTCTTTTAAGGTTTTTGGATTCAAAGCATAAAAACCATTACAAGATATACAATCTGTAAGTATGATCTTATAGATATGCTTTCCGAAATAATTCTAAAAATAGCTTATAAGTGAAAGTGGCTTGGTCTTATACTGAAGCAGAGTTAGAAATGTTTTGCGGATTTCTTAAAACAATTAAGCCTGATTGGGAGCGCTGTTACTTCATTTAGTGAAGCTGAGTAAGGTTAAATGAAATGCTGGCGTACATTCATGTTACTTGAACGCCTTTTAAATGACTTGGCATCCAGCCCATCTAGAGCTTGTACCATGTGATGAAAAAGTGAAAAGTAATTCACAGCAGGCTTTCTGTTAATGTATTAATATCTTCAGTGAAGAAATGGCCAAATGAGTATTTTCTATTTCTGTTTTTTTTTTGTGTCGAACTGTATCAGTACCGAGGTTCTTTGCTTCTGTTCTATACTGTCCTTGTTTATTACTTTGAATAAGCTATTGCACCAGTGAGTAACTTTATGGTTTCCCACTTTTATAAGTGTCATGTTTTCCCCTTCAAATTCAGTTATGCAGAAAACTGTTATTGGCAAATAAAAGGGAAATTCTTTTTCTTTGTTCCTTGATTGTCTTAATATATTATCTTGGCCTAACTTCTTCTGTACTAAATGATGCCAGCTGATATTGAAGAATAGGTCCTAATTTTTTTTTTTTAAACCCCTCATTTTGCAAAAACTCTTAAGATCTATTGATTTTTTCTGAATGGTTAAGATTTTGTTAATAAATTAATTTCTAAATATCTTCAGTTAATAGAAAAATTACTGTAGTATGGAAATACAAGAAATGTATTGCACTGTAATCTGTAATTTTTTTAAAACGTATTTAAATATGCCTTTAAGTTAAAGAATTGTACATCAGCAAATCTACTTTCCAAAGTGGAAGTGAAGTGATACTAGAAACTGAGGAAAGGAATTCTGATTTAAAAAATTTTAAAGCTGTCTATAAAGACTGGAGTGGGACGGGACAGACAAGGATTTGTAACCGAAACATCGGTTCAGAGAAACCAATTAGACAACTTTCATATGGCTTAATAACAAAATTACCTTCTCCAGCCTAGAAACTATCCAGAAAGCTCTTTAATACAGCTTTTCAATAAATGATTTCTTGGTGGCCTTCATGGGTGGAAGAAGGATAACGTTTCCTGGAATAGCTGATGGCTGCTTTTGCGTATGTGTGCAGCTCTAGAGAGGACGTTTTCCGAGTATCTTTCACTTCTGAAGTCTTCTGGAGCTTGCTGATAGACGTCTACAATGTATAACACCTAACGTTGTTGTCCTAGTCCTTCCCTAAAGCCCCTTTATAGGTGGTTCTTGGTTTGGGAAATAATGTGGAATAGCATAGATATAACTGAATTTCCTCCTGCTTCTTAGGGCTGAGTTCAGCCGTCAGTTTCAGTGAAGTGTGACTCTGATATCGCTTACAAGATCAGAGATTGCTGAGCTGCTTGATACTGAGCTTGTCGTTTGAAATTGGCTCAAAAGGTGACAGGTAAAAATAGGAAAGTAAAAACAATAGGTTACTGTGTGTTGACTTCTGGACTCCATCAGAAAGCAAGAGTTTTATTAAACTTATCTGCCTCTTAGTAAGTAGCTACTGAAAAGGGCAGTGATGTTGAAAAGTTTTCTGCTTTGCTATGTTCTAGCAACCTCATTTTGCTTTAATAAATAAAATTAAACACATACCGTACACAGCAACAGCTCTGAGGGTTTTAAATGAAAAGAGCTGTGATGTGACAAATGCTTTTCATATCTACATTGTTGATGCACGGTTTTTTCAGCTGTGCAAAGCCCTTGTTCAGGGGCGTCAAAGCATTCTGTCTTCAAGTGCTTTGTATAACCATTTCAATGTATTCGTTTCAGTTTTCAGTGCAGGAAACACCCTCCTCTACAGCATCGGTTTTGCTTGTGGCTAACTTAATGCAGTCTTGAGCGAAACTTCCCAAAATTTCTGTGTTAAGCCACAAATCAAAACTTTCATGAGAGGAAAATATCAAGTGCAAGGGGGCTCCATAGCTTGGAAAGCATAGCTTGTGAACTTTGTATCTCCAGCTAGAGAGCCTGGGTTACCTCTTTATCCTTATGTGTGCAAAACTTGTACACACGAGGTGAATTGGTGCAATGTTTGGTTACGAGATGGGAAGAAATTACAGCCTTGAGGTACTTCAGAGAATAGTAGCTCTTTAGATTAAGATGATCTTTTGCAAATAATCAGGTTCTTCTATGTGTTTAAAAGAAGGAGGTAGGCGTTCGCGGGGCGGGGGTTACGTGATTATGTTGTTCAGAACTCTGTCAAACACTGACGTGGGATTTGAGTTCCCTTAAGGTAGTTTTTATATGAAGTTCATAATAATGTGTGTTTTGAGCAGTTTCATTTAAAAGGATTTAGCAGTTGAGAAAGAAATGTCTCTGCTTAAACAATGTCAGTAATGCCTTTTCCTAACATCTTGGCATTTAACTTATGAATGTTTGAGCACGTAATTTCATTTTGTTCCTCGTTTGTGGTGTTCTTGTCGTGTGTGCCTTGAACCCTTTGCTCTTTCTCTGTATCCTTTCTTATTTTAACATGCTCTTTCACTTTCATCTTCTAACCTCACATATCCCCAAGTTGTGTTCTTCTCTGTTGTAATTGCCACTTCTCCATTTTCTCAAGTATACTTCTTTAACTTTCACACGGTCAGGTATTTAAAAGAAGGAGCCATAATGAAGCCTCTTGTGTGCTTGCTTTGTATATCTCTGTGTACGTGGGATTGGGCTTTGGCACAGGCTGCTGTCTTGTCCTTAGCCTTTAGTCCTGCCAGCAATGAGACTGTGGTTATAATCAGAAAAGAGTCCAGCTGGCAGCAGTTGGGAGCTAAGTTGCTTTAAACTTGCTACCGTAATTCCTGCTCTGAGAGGTTACAAGAATTTTGAGAGAGGGGAAGAAAAAGAGAGAAAAGCCCCCCAAAAACCCCAAACCTAAAATGTTCACGATTCATTTGGGGATCTAATTGTATTACAGTTCTAATTGTATTACAAATGCGTTTGAAATACTAAATGAGGGAAACGCCTATCACCCAACGTGTGTGTCGGTGGAATCTCTAATGTAGGTATAGATGTGCTTTATGTGATGAGAGTAAACAGGAGTGTATTTTGTAGAGCAGTGTGTGGGGCTCTGCGTTTGCCCTGGGTTGTGCACGGATCCCATATGAGGCCATAAAGGGTGGCGTGGCTGCGTTCTGTGCTCAGTTTCTATCCCTGCTACCAACAACACTATTTTTTTTATCCCTTATGGTATTCTAGCTGCTGCTTTCTCAAGCTTCAAAATTTGTAGGCTGTTTTGCTCATATGTGAGTTTTTATGCTTTGAGGAGTTTCATCTCTTACTGTTCCTTTGAACTGATGGCTGCTTTAAAAGGAAGAGGGGAACTTGGTTGAAGAGCACAGGTGGATAAGATGCTTCGTGTTAACTGCTCGGCTTCCTAGCAGCTGAGCTTCCAAAGTTCAGATGCTAACTAGCTTATAGCAGTCCTTTGCCTGGCATGGCTGATGGCTTTTCCAGGTGTGGTGACTACGTCTTGGGTGTATGCGCTATATCTAATCTTCCTTCTTGAAGACTCAAGTACAGGTGCTTTTGTTGTTGTGTGTGTATGTGTGTGTTTTTTTTTTTTAAGTTCCATCTGCTAGTTCAACCTGTGCTTCACCTCTGATCCACAAAACGTGTCAGCGATGTGATCAGAGCTATAAAGACTGACTCTGGCCAGACTTCTTCTAAGCAAAGGCAAGAATGGAGATAGCTCTGGAATTCAGAGAAAGGGGAGCACAGGGTGGATGAGCAATCCTAGAGGATCTGCTTCTTTCCCCAGTGTATGGGTCTGGACAAAGCTGGATGCAGTGCAAGTGTGACTCCAGTCGTGTGGGACAGTCATGAAAGTAGGCTTCTAAAAGTTTGCATGTCTGAAAGTGTCAGGTAAACCCTCTATTGCCCCAAAGACTGCAGTCGTGACATACTATATTAAGAAAAGATAACGTGGTGCCGATCCTGCAACTGGTGTGGGTATTTCAATGCTATGACAATTGTAGGTTATAATTGGAGCAGAAGATCTAGATGTGTTTTGTCTCTTGAAATGACTTCCAAACATTGCGTTCCAACTTAGAGTCCTGTTCTTTTAAGGAAGAATTAATCTCTCTTTTCCTTTCTGAACTGCATTTTCACTTGCATCAAGTAGGAACACATCATCTTTCCCGCAGAGAGCAACTTAAAGATGATAGAGGCCCTCCTGTTCTTGGCTTGTTTCGCCCTACCCTCCCAACACATGATCTAGTTACTGGCCTTAAAGCTTGCCGTTTTGGCTGTTTTGGAGCCCTACTGGTCAGATTCTTTATACCTGGTTACTGAAGCTTGTACACGAGTAATGCAGTGTGTTTTGCTTTGCTGTTAGCTAGCTAGAGTGGATCTCTTACAGAGTGGCAAGATAGACTTTGCAACTGGAGACTTCAGCAATATGCCTGTTCCCAGAATCTGTGTGGGGGAAACGTGCTAACTGGCCTTTTTTTGTTTGTTTGTCTGTTTTGTTTTGAGTTGACCTAATTACAAGAGCAAATGCCATGTTGGAGAGAGCAGTGTCACAATTGCTGTTTGATACAAGTGATACTCTTCATTATATTACTCAGTGATGCCTGTCAGTTACTTGTAGTGATCCATGTTGTCTTTGAGGTCTCTTGACGTGAGGTTTGAGCTGAGTCGATAAGATGAAGGTCACAGCCAATCTACTCTTTATGTGCTTTTGTGGGAGCGTAAACCTGCTTGGGTGGCAGGAGTTGTTAATACCATTCTCTTAAAAATTATATGGTATTGCCTTAATTGCCTGAATGTCTATGTTGAGATACACACTGACTAAAACATACTGATGGACCACAGTAGTCATAGGGTAAGTAATTGTTTTCCAGTAGAATCACTGATGTTTTATTCAGCAGCTTAATACATCTGCAACAACATAATTTGATTTCTGTATGTAATTTCTAGCTGTAGTTTTAAACCATAATGGCGATGGGAATAGGGGGAATTTTTTTTATGCTGACCTGTATGTTTCAAGGTGTGACAGATGTTAGAAGCGCTTAAGAGACTTATCTTGAACTCTCATCTAATTTTTTCTTTTTAGATGCGCTGAAAGACATTACGACACCGCCAAATTTAACTGCAGAGGTATGTTTGCGCTGCCTAATGTGTGTTTTCATCTTTAAATTTCTCTATTTAGGAATGAAGGAATAAGTAAAGCTGCTAAATAGTAATATAGGAGACTCTGGAGTGAGGAATGATGTCAAATAACTTTTGATTCATTAGAGAAACTTGCTGTGTTCTTGATGCTTTCTAAGAAGTATGATCCTGGCACTTAACTAGAGCAAGGCCTAATGGGGCAATCAAAGAGAAATCTACTGCTTTGAAGAACTGCTGCAGAATGGGTTATATGGAGGTCTTTTTTTTAACTTGATGGGCAAACGTATTGTAAAATGTAACTGTGAGGTTTAGAGGAAGGCCCATTTTTTTATGCAGTAATTTCAATCAGAATGAAAATGGAGAACACTGTTAAGCCTCTGTCACTGTTCATATAAGTTTTTGGAAGAGCTGGAACAAGTCTTCAGTTGCTTTAAAAAAAAATTTTTTCCCACGCGATGCCTCTTTGAAATGAGTTGGTTCTTGGACGCTTTGCAGAGCTACCAGAACCTGTGGGGAAACTTTTAGGGACTTCTAGAAATTAGTCCTTTTGCATTTTCTGGCCATCAAGTGGATGGCAGACTTTTGATCAGAGCCTTGGTGAGTGGAAATTGAGGTACCTGTTTTGTCAGTAGTAGCTCCCCAGGTAATAAGTACAGACTTATCTTTATTCTGTGTGTAGAGGAACCTCTTTGGGCCTATAAGCTTGTAGTTCCTCTTTGCGTCATGCTTTAAAATGGGTGGGTAGATAAGGAGTACTTGTGCATACGCTCTGGAGTAATTACAGGAGATGTATGAATTTTGACCTCACCAGTTAGTGGTAGGTGATAGTAAGGGCTTAGCTTTTTCATAAGCCCTTCTGGTTGTAAAGAGGGTGTTTAGAACATGACCAAAATGCAATTGGTTACTTTAATGTCTGAATATAGAGGGACTGAAGTCTTCATTTGGAAGTTATCTTCACTCCTGATATGCTACCTTGTGATGTTGAATGGCAGTATCCCGAAACCCCGCTCAATACATGCGAGCCAGAAAAACAGTATGTTAAGATCTGCTTGAGCAGCTCTTTGGGTAAGAGGAGAAAAGGTGTAAATGAAAAGGACAAGCCTCTAACATCATGTCCAGAATGTATGCTCGCTTTAGTTTATGCTTTCTGCTATGGAGGTGCTCAGATTCCTTCACTGTCAGTCGCATCCCAAAATGCTGTTTCTGTGACAGAACCTTTCACAGTTCCTCTGTGTAAGACAACACAGTTGTAGGAAGCTGCATGTTTTGTTTTTCGTTTTCATCCCCGAATTAGTTATCTTAGATAACCAAATTTATGACTCAGAACTTCTCTTTCCTTAGCAGAACAACAGTTGTACTTAAATCTTCTGAAGTGAATTAATTTCCAGGGTACTTCTCATTTGTATGCTTAACGTGAAACCCCATAGTAGTTCAGTATTCAACTGGAGATTCTTGCATCAAATTCAAAACCAGACACTGAAAGGTCTTCGTTCTCTTTGGACAGTAGCTTTCTGACAGAGGCTTGTTTAGTTTCTGAGGTACTTCCATGCTGGAAGTCAGCCTCTGCTTTACTACAGTTTTTTTTTTTGTTTTTTTTTTTTTTTTCTCTCCTCCTTATACGCACTGAGATTTTTCTTGCTGTTTCTAGGAGCTTGGAGGGACGAGTCAGAGCAGTTCCCCTTGCTGTATGCTTCAGTGTTAGGAACCTTAGTCCATGGAGTACCTGTCTCCTCTAAGCTCAAGACTGTGCAGCACGTTTCCCAAGATTGCTTCCTGACTCTTAGTCCCTCTGCATCATCTCAGGGGACCCCATTTACAGGCCCCTCGTTTATTCTTTGCCGAAGGTCCTGCAAGCTTTGACTTAGAGGGCATCTTCAACAAGCTGTTACTACTTGGGATTTTTCAGGCTGTTCTTCCAGGATGGTTTTGTGCCTCTTCTTCACAGGAACCTTATTGGATGTAATTAAGATGGAATCAAAGTTATATAGACAAATATGGAGCACCTCCTGAATGGCTTCTTTTCTGAGCAGTTTCTAAATAAACTCCTCCTTTCTCTCCATCTACTGCAAAAAGTGAAGTCTGTGTAACTTTACATACAACGATCATTTTGGGAGTCCTTGGATCTTCCATGCAGAAAAAATATATTAGTGTATGTTCGTTTTCGTTAAGCTTTGATTCTTCTTTAACGAAGATTGTTCACTCTGTCAGGCTTCCCTTTTTGGTCTCCTAGAAGATGAAGCGGACGGTCTGTACTGTGAGTGAAATAAACTGTCCTTGCAGTTCCCTCCAGAAGGCTTCAGACTTCTGCTACAGTGATTTAGCAGTTCCATAACTTCATCTCTCACTTCTGCTCTTTAAAGTCCTTGGGGATTCATCAAAAGGAGCCTCGCGTATATGACGAGAGTAGTACTTACAAAGCAAATACAAACACTTGCCAAAAAATGAAACGCATTCATTTTTAGACCAGAAAAGGAAATGGTGTTTCTAGCTGAGAATCTTTAAATGAACCAGACTTAAAAGTTCTGGTTCTTACAAGTTCCCAAGTCTGTCAGTTGAGAATTGGGGTGTACTTTGTGTAGTGCAGTTTCCCTAAGCAGACTGGTATAACTTTTATGTAATACTGTCAATCAGCATGACATTAACTGTCACTTTATTTGATGTGTCAGGCAGAGGTTTGGTTTTGGGTGCTTCTATCTGCTTATTGCTTTTTTTTGGCCTTTTTTGAATTTTCCTTTTATTTCTTGCATACTAACTTGAAATTCTTTACATCTTTAGATGGAAACAGTGTTTTTGTGTGTGTGTGCATACATGTGAAAAAGGACAACTTCATTAGGTGGTTTGGCATTTAAAACCCATAGGTACTACAGGTGCCTCACATGAGATTCCTTTTCTGATTACCATTTTTTAATGTGAAATTTACTGTTTCTTTGAGAAAACTCTGAGTTTTTTCTCCAGCGTAGAGCCAACTGTGCTCAGAATTTTTGGAGAGAATATTCCTGTTTTCTGATCAGTGAGTGAGGTCTAGCCTTGTTTTCTCTGAGCGAGTCGTTCAGTTACTGCTAGAGTAATGTATTTTCACGAGGCTATTCTTTGTGCCAACACTCGCTTAAATTCCAAAATCCCATGATGTAAGGTACGGAGCGTATCCCACTCGTTTCAGTACCTCTGTGTAAAACAGTCTCTTCATGTAGCAGCATGCTTGCTTATTTATTACTAGGGAAATGTCTGTGAGGCATTTAATATGCAGCACGTTGCTGAATAACCATGGACTCAAAGCATTTGTATATCTGTATGTAAGATGGCTTTTATTTAGAATGTTAATTTTTTGCATGCTTGTCGCAAAGTTGACCTGTCTAGTTGGGCTTGCTGAAATATTCTTCTGAGATTTTGATAAAACTCTTTCTTCCCGTTGCAGTTGCACAGTACCCTTTTGAAGACCATAACCCACCACAGCTAGAGCTTATCAAACCTTTTTGCGAAGATCTTGACCAATGGCTAAGTGAAGATGACAATCACGTTGCAGCAATCCACTGTAAAGCTGGAAAGGGACGAACTGGTGTAATGATATGTGCTTATTTGTTACATCGAGGCAAGTTTTTAAGGGCTCAGGAAGCCCTAGATTTCTATGGGGAAGTAAGGACCAGAGACAAGAAGGTGAGTATTTTTGTTCTTCCATTCTCCTGCCTATATCTGTGTGCTTTTTGTAGTTAAGGTGAATTAGAATGGTCAAACCTATTAAGAAATGGTTTAATCAGTTAGGAGATAGGGTTTGCTTTAGCAATTGGTCGCAATCCTGAAATTGTCTGTTTTTTCCATCTCATGTTCAAGGAGGTCTGGACAGTTTATTTGCCCAGAAACACTAGTCTGCCTTTTAAAGGGCATTCTGCTTTGTTTTGCATCGAATGGGTGGTTGATGAGTGAGCTTTCTCATTCAGCATTTTCAGGCCAAATAAGAGGATTATTCTAGCTTGTTTTGCCTGAATGGAAGAGCTGTTCAGATCCTCAGGTTCTCTAACTTCTCTGGTGTTGTTACGAGATGCTTAGTCATTTAGGTGTTTGTTACAGCTGAATCTCCCTTCCAGAAGAGTACATGCAGTCTGTCACAGGATTCCCCCTTTCAGTGAAAGGGTAGTTAAGCTCAGGCATTGGCTGCCTCAGCCTGCTTCATGAGATGCTTGCTGTTTATTTTCTTGTGCTTGCATCTCATGAGAAGAAATGGGAGGAGCTCATTTCGAAGAAATGATGCTAATGGCTGCGAGAACTTTTGATTAAGACCTTGTCAGTAGTAAAGACAGACCTGGCAGCAATTGTATGTTGAACTTTTTGGGCGTGGTTCAGCCTTGTTGATGGGAACCTAACTTCCTTATTTCCAGTCTTCTCTAGATATATTAAGGTGTTCTTCTCAAGGTCATTTCAGCGAGCTTCCCTGCTCATCTTCCATCAGTTCTTTGTATGCATTGTTATAGCAGCCCAAGGAGATCATCCCCGCAGGCCAGATTCGACCTGTTCAAGTACAGAGCTCTCTGAGTTCCTGTAATATTTGCGTAAAGTATTAATTACACAGAGTATAGACCTCTAATAAGTAGAGTTTTATGTTTGAAGGCTCTTGAGAGTAGAAGTGTCACATAAGAACTTACAGAATTTGGCTGTTGATTCATTAGAAAGAGTAAATACATTTTTAGTTTGCTCTCTTTATAGGATGGAGCTGCTATTCCGTACCCTGCATAGAAGGTAATTATGGTGTAATATGGGAAAGGAGACAGTGGCTTCCCACCAAAACCTAATGGATTTTTGTAACAGTGCATGATAGTGAGTAGGAATGAGCTGTGTGATGAATAAACGGTGTAGATTACTATTGCTGATAAAGGCTATCGAAAAGGCCAGAAGTGTCACAAAAATTACATAACAAATATGTGGTGAAGCATTCTGTGCCTCAGTTTCCCTTTTGTAAAAAGAGGGTAGTGTTTCTCTGCATGAGCGTTTTGAGGATATGGTCAGTTAGGCGCTCACTTAATGCTCCAGCGGTACCTCTCTCGTGTTTGGGGTAATGGAGGATTTAGTAAACAGGAATAGTGAGAGCCTTGTTTAGCTTCACTGTAAATACTGTCTGTAACCAGCAACTTTGTTTTGGTTTCTGTGTCTCTTCTGTAAGAGTTGACTTTTCCATCTCCACTTCACCTGGTTATCTTTATTTGGACAATGGACAGTATGTGATTTATGTGATCTTAAAAGTAATATTTATGAATAGGTATTACGGTGTGGATTCTGGAAGTTTTTCTTCCCTTTTGGCCCATATTTCAGCGTTATATCTCAGGTACCACAACTTTATATAACACCTTTATATAACTGACTTCCTGAAAGCAATGAAACAGAGGCTTCAAAAGAACTGCTTGCACCCAGAGACAGGCTTTTTTGTTGCTGGACCAAGATAGGCATGATTAAGGAAAACGGGCTTTAGTCAGATACCAGATTTTCTTTGTTTAAAGCAAGCACAAGGTGCACAGCTTGTGAGTAGCCGCTCAGAATAGCGCAACTTGAGTGCACGTTCGGCTCCATCGCTGCTTGCCATTAATGTGCATAGCAAATTGATTCTCAGGAGGATTTAGTCCAGGCAGGCAGGAAGTGAGAGTCTAATTGCAAGAGGAAGTATGACTAACTGGTCAAGAGGACAACCTCCACTGCTTCTATGGCAAGCATTTACCCAAATGCCTGATGGGAGACGGAGCCTCACAGAGGCTTTTGCAACACTGAGTGAGAACTGTTGTACTTAGGCTGACAGTTCCTGGATAGTCTATTAATGTACTGCCCTCCATGTCCTGAGGAAAGTGGTGGGGGAATAAGACATACTTGAACGGAGTCTAGAAGTCTGTTTTTGACCAAAGAGTGACTTCCGGCCCCCCAACTGCCTCTTTTCAGCTTTCATAACTCTTGCAGAGGCAGGGGAAACCCTCAAAAAACCAATGCAAGCATTTTACCTCCTTCAGAAGAAGGGACTAGGAAAGATGAGAAGGTATTGGCTAAAATATTGTGAGTATCAATCCCTGCCACGTTAGTATAATAGGACTCATTCCTATTTTCTCTTTGAACGGGGGGAGACAAACTATTTTCTGAAGTTTGGTATAGAATTGTAATTGTACAGCCAGTTTTCAGAGCCGGGGGAGAAGTAAATCCAAAAGTCTTCTAAAACGTTGCTCCGTCCACCGTTTGAAATTGCTAGTTTATCACCTTTTTTCCTTGAGATGGGCACTGTGAAATACTCCTGTGAGGCTGAAGAGTGACAGCATATCTTTCTATGGCTGCAGAAGGTCTTTATTCCCACAGCTGCCTTGAATTGGTTTATGGTGGAGGGTTAGTCTTGGAAGGAAATGTGTCTTGTAGTCTGCTTCTCAGTAAATAGATCTCAGCTGGGAATAACCATTCAAGTCCTTGAGTCGGAGCTGATCCATTCAAGACCTTTGTACTGTTGTGTTTTAGAAACGGCTTCTGATAGCGGTGGTAGCAGCAGTTAAACGTAACAGAACAGGAAATGAAAACCAATTATTTTCTGCAAGGAAATCACAAAATGACTCTTTCAACAGAGTCGAAATACAATGTCTGATGTGTCAGGGCTGATCAGTTTTGATCCCTGTTTGCGGACTGTACTGAGATGACAATCCCCGTTAAACCTGATGCTGTAAGCTTAGTCTGAGGCTGCAGCTTTAGCCTTGCTCTCCCAGTTGGGCACTTCAATAATATGAATGTGGGAATGCTACTTCCAACATACGTATGTTCGTTGGTAACGCTGCTTGTACAGTGAGAGGACCGTGAGCGGCACCTGGAAGTTCTTCTGTGACCGATATTCGGCTCAGCAGTATACCCTGAAACTCCGGCACAGGGGCTGGAATAAGCTATCTAAAGTCCATTTAGAAAATGATGAGAGTTGTAGTGAGGAAATGTAAGCTTCTCGAGGAGAAAATATTTAAACTATTTTCTGATTCTTTATTCTTCCTCGAATAAAAGTAAGTGGGGATTCGATTGCACCCCTCAGAGTATTGCCTTATTATAGAAAGTCTTTGAAATCAGACCTCTGAAGAATGAAGAACTTTCTGTGCCGCTTCAGTGTGACTGACTGCTTAGGATACCCATGGAAAGGCAGTGTCTCTGGGAAGTAAAAACTATATGGCTGGAGGGATAACATTGCCCTTTTGGCTAATAAGAACCGGTTTGGCTTTGAGGTCGTCTGTCACTGTATGTAGCCACATAAGTGAAAGTTCTCCCTTCGTTCTGGTCCCAACCCTGGTTGCCTTGGTCAGGTTTGCTGGGAGTTTCTCTCTGTGGCATATCCATTCTGGAATGGAGAAACTATGGGCAGAGAAGAGTTTTCTCTACCTATATGACTATATACCTGTATGACTTTCTCTACCTATGAGTGTCATGGCTGGCAGCGTTGGCCGATTGCTTGCTGTGAGCCTGAGCTTGTCTCAGTTGTGAAAGTTGGACTCCGATACAGAAAACTTTAAAGCTCCCTTAAGAAATGGATCTGACAACTGCTGAGATGAGATCCGGACCAAAAAAACATTGTCAGCATAGAAGGCTACTTAAGAAATTGGTTGTACGAGTCCTATAGGGAACGGTCTTCTGTGTAATTTAGAAGCAGTTGAAGTGGTAAGGAGACATAATTACCAGCATATTTTTAATAAATGCAAGAAGGTATGTATCCAGCTAAATTTTCTCTCGTGTATAGAGTTGATGTTCACTAAATTAAAAGTATTCTGGCCCCTCAGAGCTTATGGCTGCTGTAAGGTGAAGCAGATATTAGAACAGAGTTTACAGAAATACTGTGTTCTAGATCTGTGACCAAAATGTTTGCAGACTAATATATGAAGACCTTTCACTGTCTCCAGTTTATTGCCATTTCACGTTTTGTTTTAATGTGAGAGTGTACTTACTGACTCTGTTGCAAGTATATTATATGAGCTACTATAAACCATATAACACATTTTCTTGAGGATAAAGTGGTTTTTTTCATCTTTGTCACTTCCTCCTGAAAATATTATCTGTAAGAACTTTAAAAGTATTCCTGCACTTGAAGTTTAAATTGGTTTAAAATCTGTAATAAAAATGTTCTTTGGTTATATGTTCTCGCAGCAAGTGTTTACTTCAGAGTTGTAATTCAATTGAAAAGCCCTTCATATAACAGTTTGGCCTATCAGGCCGCATGTTAATGAAACTTTCCACTTCGGATGTTTTGGTAAAACATTTCAGAAGCGTGTTTTGTACTAGAAAAGAGCATCCCTCTTGAATATGGTGATATTAACAAACAGAATTGGAGTCTTTTGATTTAAAATGTTGTAAAAATGTAATTTCGGCATCAGTGTTTTAGTCTTACAGGGTATTCAAGGGGTCTGCTGCTAAAACTGCTGCTGGAGGAGCTCTGACCCCCTTCCCTGGCCCTCCCCACCCCTCAGAAGCAGTAGCATGAGACCATCTTCTGCATGACCCTCAAAGCCTCTGGGGTGTTTCTATCCGAGATATGGAAGAGAGAAGTCTGCCTTCTTTGCCTCCTCCCTTGGAAGGTGGATGCAAGGAAATACATACAAAAATAAAGGGGAAATCAGTCTTCTACTTGTTCCACCATCGGGTGGTGGTTGGTAGCTGCCTGGTGTCACATAGTGCATGCAAACAGCTTCCCCTTAACTATGTTGCAGGGCAGGTAAAAGGGATGTGGAAACATGCGGGAGGGAAGAAGGGACGCGCACAGAGGCTGTCTGGGAGCGGTTTTGTAGGTGAATTATGATTTGGCGCATCCTTGAGATGAACAGGCTTCAGCTGATGCCTGAACTGCGGCCATCAGCCGCGGTGAAGAGATCGCCACTGAGGGCTGTCACGAGTTACTGTGCTGAGAAGCCATATCGTCCGTGCAGCAGTGCGCCGCGGGAGGGCAGGCGGATGCTCTCCTGGTTATAGCCGGTTTGAATGTGTTACTTTGCGCTCCGGTCTTTAACGCAGCTGCTGCGAAAGGTATACTCGCGCTTAAACCACAACAGCGTGTGTCGTGTGCTTTAGCCACCTTTTTATTCTTGCTTCGTTCATCTGGAGTTGCCTTGTGAGGTAGGGGGCAGAAGCTGCGTTAGCAACGGCTAATAAATGGTTTTGATTGCTTTTGAAGTTTGGTTTCCCTTCGTTTAGGGAGTAACGATTCCCAGTCAGAGACGCTACGTGTATTACTATAGCTACCTGTTAAAGAACCACCTGGATTACAGACCAGTGGCACTGCTGTTTCACAAGATGATGTTTGAAACAATTCCAATGTTCAGCGGCGGGACTTGCAGTAAGTACCAAACGCTGTTTTATTCTCTCTCCCAGCTCTCGCGGCGAAACGTTTTAGGCGCTTGAACCCGCGTTTGGTTACAGGGCCGCTTGCGACTAGCACGCGGCGCTAGTCGCAAACGCGAATACCTGCACACAGAGCAGAAAAGATCATATTTAAATACTTTAGGTTCCCAAATCTGCCGGGTTGGTGTGGTTTATCCGCTTGCATCCTTCCAGGGGTAGTAGCTTGAGGTCTGTGAGGGACTTGTACTACGGCTCTTTCACTGCAGGTTTAAATCGGGAAATATTTAATGATTTGAAGATTAACAAATGATGCCTTGTGTACTTTTGCATATTTGCTACTTGATTTTTTTTATAAAAGCCTTTTCTTAAAGATATGGTGACTCTTGTGAAACGTGAATTGCTGAAAAATGTTTATTTTATTGTGTAGCATATTGACTTCAAATGCAGTAATGTCATTCTTCCCATGATGGTTTTAAAAATAAAAAAAAATAAAAAAAATCAGTTCCACTGGATACAGATGTAATAAAGAAAAGTTTATTCCAGACTTAATGGAGGCTTATAAAGTAGAATATGCACATTACATGATTAATCTGATTTGCTGATAACAGTTGTTTTAGCAAGGAACAGCAAACTCCTTGAAACTCTTTTATTAGTGTGAATAGGTATTTGCCTCTGTCCTTCCGCGGGCTGCATTGCAAAGCAGTAACTGCCTAGCGTTGCACGCTCGTTTTTTCTATTACTGTGGGAAAATATTTTTTATGGTTTTGCTCTGGGCACTACTGCAATGTGTAATTAATTCCAGAGCCTCCTGCGGCTTTGGTTAAAATTGCACTCCTTGCGTTTGTGTAACGCAGTACCTGAACGTGTAAGGCATGTAAGAAACAATCAAGCGACTTGTCAGGCTAGCTGTATTTACAGGAGGAAGAAGGGAGGAGCCTCTGGTCAAAATCCTTTGCCCCTAGGGTGGAGGTGTGGAGGTTACAGACTTCTGCAATTAACACTTATTTAATGTTTCGGATAAGCTGTGATATGCTTGTGAAGTCAAGCTACATGATGTTTAGCTCGCATGAGCATTTCCTTGTTTGTCCAGACTATGCTCTTAGCATGTTAGCTTTATAGTAGGATGTTCGGATAAGCAGATATTTGATAAGCACGTGGAAAGATATAATAACTAACAACTGTCACGTTTTACATTTTTCTGCAATTTTCAGTGACTTTCTGCATGCAAAACCATGCATTGCCACCATTGCCTCTTATAACCTGCAGTCACTGCGCGTCGACTGCGATGGCAGTAAATTTACCAAGACGACGTGTTTAGATCTTCCTTCCTTGTCGTGTTCCTTCTGCTTCATAGTCGCTGCCTGGGCAGTCATGTCTCGGGCGAAGAGAAGGGGTAACAGGGTTTCGCAGCTCTAAGGGTTTGAGAGGAATAAGTAACAGCTTTATAGAGTAGGCTGCTCAGCAGTGTGGTATGGGTACGTTAGGTACCGACTTCCACAACTCTGCGGTGGTGGTTTCAAAGTGGCTTTGCAGTCTAAGACAGGATATGGTTCAGTGTGTGTTGTCTAGAGAGCAGTCCAGATCTGATAATCACTGATAAATTTAGGAGTAAATGCAGAAAGATTTCGGTTAATTAGTAGCTCATTTGAAAAAACTGTAACATTTCTGGCTTTCATCCTATTTTTTGTTGCTGGTTTCCAAATAAAATCTGCTTAAGCCGCAAAAAGACTCCAACTTGAGCTGTTACCCCTGAAGATTTAATTCTGAAAGTTGCACTGTAGTTGGCACTTTTTTTCTTTCCTCCTGGTGGCAGAGATTTATAGGACCGACTTATGGGCTGTGCCTGTATAGTTTGTTGTGAGCGTTGGTTGGTTTGTATATTAATGTTAAATTTTGTCCTTGTTCTGTTTGTATAATGGTTCTGTTTGTGTAAGGGGAGAAATTGGTTTGTTCTGACATGACCACCCGCTCTGCAATGCAAAAAAGAGAAGGGGAGACTAAACCCCCTCAATTACATCCATAAAATAGAGATGAGAGGCACATACAAGGAAAAGTCAAGAAGCTGTCACTTTATATAGTCGTTTTCTCAATATAGTGTTGTTATAAAGATGCAGCAACTTTTTAGGAATCGCATGGTAGGCTGAGAGTATTTTTACAAAGTACAGAAATCTATTACATTGTTTCCAGTAACATCTAGTAAAGCTTTTCTTGCTGCACGGCAATGCTTAATGCTTCATAGACCTGTTTTAACCTTTTAAAATATTGTAGCCTGATGGCTATGATTCTGAAACTAATATTACGTTTTTTGACAGTTTAAGGCATTTCTTGTGAAGTGACACTCTGTTTTACCATGCAGATCCTCAGTTTGTGGTGTACCAGCTAAAGGTAAAGATATTCACCTCCCCTTCAGGACCCTCAAGACGTGAAGACAAGTATATGTACTTTGAATTCCCTCAACCCTTGCCGGTATGCGGTGATATCAAAGTGGAATTCTTCCACAAACAGAACAAGATGTTGAAAAAGGTTGGTTTTCTCACTCTTCTCAAAAGTGTTGCGAAGCCAGTCCTGGTGCAGGCCTGGGATGTTGGTTATTTTTTGGTGATGTGTAATCACAGTATTTAATTCTTTGATGTCTAATTTTCCCCAAGTAAGCAATCTACCACAAAATGAAGGCTGGATATTTTGAGATTCAGTGAGTTTAAGTACAAACATTGGATAAAAATGATAGTAGATATGTACTGCAGTAGTTAGGGGTAGTAGTGAGTAATCTAACTGAGGAAGAAACATTCTCATCCTAAAAATAGACTTGCATACTGAGCAAGTTAATTCCAGATGTTTTCTTCACTAAAATTTCTTCAAGTTTTAGCAGGATCTTGATGTCTGTGTGCTGTTGGCTGATTTCTATCCCATCTGTCAAATTTGGTTGAATCTCTGAGATAATTGAGTTCCTACGCACTTTGTGAAAATGTCTTTGCGCTCTATTCAGCCATCTCCTGAGTTCATATTGTAGCATTTCCCTGAGCTGGAATGCTTGACAGACATTCAGAGAATCTGCTCAGAAGTGAGACTTCTATCAGTGTCCTGATTGTGGGGGAAAAATTAATCTGGAACTTACTTTGACACCGAAGTCAGTCAATTCTTAAAGAGGAATGCCTCATCTTTGGGTTTCCTTAATTCTGGAGCTTGTATAGCTATTTCACACCTGCCTGAATGAAGACTGAGGATGAAACCATGTTGACTTAAATGCTACCTTTGTATTCGCAGCTTAAGCTTGTTCATTACAAATAGTTGTTCACTACTTGAGGCTATAAAACTTACAAGTACTCATTGAGCAAGTCTTCTGCACAGGCAAAGCAAAAATAACGTTACAATGGATTAAGAGACGGAAACCTAAGTGTCTGAGAAGGTTACACAGTCTGTTACCACCATGCATGCAGGTTGTACCTACTAGATGTATGTCTGTGTACAGGTACCCACTATTTCATTTGTGGGCTTGTTCAGCAACAAAATTGTTAACTAGTTTAATGATAAATTTTTCAGAGGCTGAAAATGTACTGTTCCATTGTGTATGTGCGTTACGTGTTGGTGCCTGTGAATTTCAAGTTTCTTAATTTCTTCTTCTGCCTGTTAAATCAGATGTCTTAGTTGATCAGTACAGCTGTGCAATACACAGAACTGTAAAACAGAGCATTTTTAATATAGTTTAAGTCAACAGTAAAATCGTTTTAATTAGAACTTCAATCCACATGGGTCAGTTTTGAGAAATGACTTTTACGAGAGCATCCAGATAAGTACTGTGAGCTAGACATGAGGGATGTAAGGGAGGAGATGAAACGAAACCCAAACAGCTGAGACAAGTCCTGTTTTATCCAGTCCCTGTCCTATCTTAACTGGCTATTTTGCAGTTTCTTTACTGTCTTCAGTAACACACGGTTTATGAACAGACCTCATAGGAAATTTTCTCCAGCTCTTCTTCCTATTAAGCTCTCAGAGTGTCAATACAGAGTTCTGGTGCTGGATCTCAGCTCCTTAACACCAGGAATGAACTGCTGTATTTGTTTCACCTCTGTGGAAAGCATTAAGTTCCAGTGATAGCACAAACTCATTGTCACAAATCCTCATTGTCATTACATAAAATTTTGGCAGTATAAATTCTGTCTTTAAGAACGCATTGAAACAATTGCGTAGAATTGTCTGTGGAAAGCATGTAACCATGCTGAAGTTTCATTTCAGTGTGTTGTGTCAGCTATGATTTTATTCCTTAAGGAGCCTAATTTTACTTGCTGAGTTCTTTTATCTTTTTTTCTAGTTTTTCAAGTACCCTAACTATTTTGGTCTGTGGATTACAGATATTGTGGAGATGCTCCTTTTCTCAGTGTTTTTGGACAGCTGGGGCTAGGAAATCTGAGATGGTGGAAGCTGTGCTTTGCACATCTGCAAGCTTTTTTGAGAGAGAAAAACTTTCCCTTCTCTAGACAGAAAAACACTGCCTTTTGTAAGGCTACCAGAAGCCACCTTGATAATCTGCTTCAGAAATCTGTTTGATCAAATTCTTAATTGCCTTCCACCTTGTGTAAGAACTGATGCCAAAAGAAAGTAGGTATATGGTGTTACACAAGTCTAGTAAGATATCGGTGAGCACTGATGTCAATGCAAATGCACAAATTCTAGAGCAGCTGGGGCTGGGTCTATGGGTCCTGCCAGGTGTAAGTATCTTAGTAGTTAACTTTATGAGCCCACTACTGAGCTATTAATATTGGGAATTAGTGAAATACTATCTCTGGCAACTTGCTTTGGCATCAAAGATGCTTCTTCCACACGGTCTTTCTGACAACTTGTTAAGTAAAGTGACTGAGAGAAGAAAAGGGCACAGGTGAATATTTATGGCAGAAAACCTGTGTTGGCACAAATTTGTGCCAAATTTATCTGCGCAAGTTTCACATCTGTGAAGCCCCCTCTGACTCATATAGTAAAGTCTATTTCTTTTCTAGATAACCTCACTCTATGCTATCTTTAATCAAAACCCATAGAGAGTGCCTTCCACCATGGAGGCTTCTCACCTCCTAAAGGTCACCCAAGGAGGTGACCACCTAAGCTGTCAGGAACTTAGTAGGAGTAACAGTATTTTTTCTGAGTTTCTGGCTTATGTACACATGTTTATGGAAGCAGAAACTACAGGTCTGTTGCCCAATGCTGATTCTTGCTCGTCCAAGGTTTTCTGTTAGTAGATTTGTAGGTAGCTGAACAAGCTTTCTTGCACATGCTTAGAGGCATCACATATCTACTACTCAGCATTTTAACTTTCTATAAGAAATCTAATCAAGAAAATAACATTAATTAAACTGTAATTTTTGATCCCTTGTGGGCAGCAGGCTGGAGAATGGCTATATCTTATCTCCAGAGATAAAGGTAATCTCCTTGTCCTCTTGCTGGGTCTTTTTGGGTGTTTGATACCGCTGGTCTCAGCTGAAGCCTTCTGGATTTGATCACCTTCTGTATTCACTTTCAAACTCTCTAGTTCTTTAAACGACTGTATCATTGTCTGCAGAGCCCTCTAGTATAGAGGGTCCTCTTCAGCTTCGATGAAGCTTTTCTTGGATAGTTTGAATAACTTGAATGGCCGAGGGACTTTGGCACTGCAATGCTAGCTGCTTATTGTAAAATTTAAAGCAGTCAAGTGTCCTGTTTTATTCAGTAGCATAACTTAATTTAAGCAAATTCAGTGGCTGATGGGAGCTGACCTCCAGCAAAGGATTATTAGTGCTGGTGAGATGATGTTGGTTAAGGGGGTGATAATTTGTACCATGTGGCAGCAGCTAAGTCCACAGCTTTTGGTCTTCTGTTGTCTAATAAATTTGTCGACTGTATTCTTGGACCTCTCCTTCAGTGTGATGTAGCTGCTTCCTTTCGTTCTGTGTGTTTGCTGAAATGAAAACAAAATGGCTTGAGAATTGGGTGCAGTTACTAGTTTCATGTACAAATTTCTGATTGTTAGAATTTGGTAGTTTGGGTGTCAGGTTTGCTTCCGTGTACCTGTCCTGAAGGCTTTTCCTTCTGGCTATTGATGTTGACGTGATAATCTTCCTGATAAGATTTCATGATCGTGATAAGATTTCGGAGTATCCTGAAGTCACTTGCCTCAGCTAGAGGCTGTTTAATGATAATACAGTGGGGATCCTCCTTGTGGAGCCTTGGGGTAGAGGAGACGTTTTCAGGAGGGTTACAGTGCTGAGCCCTCCCAGTGTTCATCTGAGAGACACCCTCGCGTGGGTTTTTATAACAGTCATTGCTGTTTTATACTCGGAATCTAGTATGTGCAGTGCTGACAGCATTGCTGACAGCTGTTGGGTATGCCATTTTGTCTCTTTGTATAGATGAGAAATTATGCTACATAGGTAAACAGGATTTTGGCTGATTGCTGTTTAGCAAACACTGAACTTGCTTTGAAAACGTCAGAAGACTTTAACTTGTTGAGCTGAAAACGGTACAACAAGTTCCATCAGCGGTAGTGACGGGAAGGCTGTAAGGCTGGCCTGGGACAGGTTGGAACATGATCTCCATCCTCTGATTACTGGATAGCATAGCCAAAACCCTTAGATGTTGCTCCAAAGTGGTGAAGTACCTGTAGGTTTCTCTGCACAACTGAACTCTCAGAAGCAAATGGGAACTCCTAGCTGATGGCTTAATTGATCTTGATTTTTGGATTTCAGAGATCTCAGGAGGAAGTCAGAGGTAGGTATCAGCTCTAGAGTGAGGGTGTATGCACTGATTTTTTTTGTTAATCTGAGAACTAAAAAACTGTACAAGGCAGGGATAGGTATTATATGTCAGAATAGTAGGATTAAATCAGCTTTTGTTTCAGGTGTCTGATATTGCAGTGTAGATTGGTTATGAAAAGAAATACAATCTATATCGTACATCTGTAGTTTTTAAGACAGATTATTGTGTAACTGGAAGTGAAGCAAAACATTCAGAAAAAGAGAAAAGCCACCAGCTAATAATAATTCTCAGAAGCCTATTCACTAAGTAGTGTTACTGTGAATACTTGGTCCAGTACTCTGATCTTCAGTAGTTTTCCATGTAGAAGCGAAGTACAGTTCATGCCTTGGTTTTTAAAATTCCTCTCGTTGGCCCATACTACAGCTTTCTTCATCTCCTATGGAGTATCTTGAAGCCTGCCATTTTTGCTGAAGCTTGGTAAAGCTGATGGAAATCTCACTTGGAAAAATGGGCTTTGTTTTTCAGTGAAAGCAGTGACACGGTTACCAGCTTTAAGAGCTAATTCCAAAAACGTGACCAAGTCTTCTCTCAGTTTTTGTGACTACGCCATGTTCCAGTACCCAAGAACTTAGTTTTTTTAAGCTAATTAAGTTAGTGTAGCTGGAAAGGAAGAAAAATAGCCCGATGTTTTAGAGTGGCTAGCTCAGTAAGGTGTATTTATCCCAAGGGAAACAGGCTAAAAATGTCTGGTGAGAAGTTCATCTCTCTCCTCCCCCCCCCCAAGACAATATCAGTAAAGCTGAGTACCTACAATTTCAGTTCAGACTGGCCCTTAAGCTGTTGAGTAAATCTTTCCCGGTTCTGCTCCACCCAACCGAGCTTAAGCTGAGGCGTGACAAGACCATGCTTTCTGCCTCCACTGGCATTGGTTTGCATCTAGTGACCTTGTTTGCTTTGGCACCGTTTTTCTGCAAAGCTCCTTCAGCACTATTGATATAAACCATTTTCCAGTTTTTCCATCAATCGTCTGCTGCAGCATGTTCATCAGCTTCATCTCTCCTCTGTTGACATCACTGGAGGCATCGTGCGCGGTACTGAGGACTAGCACCGAAGTGCGTTACTGCTTCTGCAGTTTGGTACTGAAGAAGATGCAAGACTTCAGTAGTACAATCACCCTAGATACAAGAGGTGGCATCTGAAACTCACTTTCTTCTGTGAGTCCTCCCTGGGATGATGGCCTTTCCACCAGCAGTGAGTCTGCAGCTGGTGTGTCTGCCTGCTTATAGAACTGTTGAGTGCTGGAAACACCAACCTCAGGCTTCCCTTCTCCCTGATTGCAGATTGCACTTGGAAGCTGTAGTGTTGCTGTTCTGTAGCTGAAGGGTTGATGCCTTTCATTGTTGTTCTCTTTTGGCCAGAACGTCTCTCCTGGCACGAGCAGGAGGAATCATCTCATCTCTTCTGAGGACTGTGGGTCTTTAGGGGATCCATCTCCTGGGCACAGGAGAGTCTTGCAGACCCATTCATGGGGGTTTTGCCTACTTAGGCTTTCTTCATCAGGCAACAGTTTAAACTCATACATGGCCAACAGGCTGGTGACTTGTTGGAGCTGGAGCGTTACAGAAGAGTAAATCCTCTTGCCCAGGACATTCAGGCTGTACTTCCAAATCTCAAGGATGTGCAGTTTTAGATTGTTTCTGGGGCAGTTAGTGAAGAAGAGGGTGCTAGGTGTATGAGCAGGTTGTGCCTGACAAGAATCTGCTGATTGCTGTAGATAGGATGCCTTGAAGGGACTTGGTGGCAGTGGCAAACATCTGTTAGCATCCCAAGACAACTGTATTTACCGCGTGTTCTGGTAAACTGTCGATTCACAAAGGTGCTGGTGAGGCATGTGTTGGAGTGGGTAACTGCTTAACTACCAGAAGAATTTCTGACAGATAGTTAACTTCCTTCTTTCCCGTTGGGCTTCCTTTAGTGCTTATAGAAGTGCACACAGGCTAGAAGCTGTTTTGTGTGCTTTTAGAAAATACTGAAAATGGGGCTACTAAACTTCGGGAGAGTAGTCATGTAGAAGTTGTTTCATCGGACACTTCTGAGTTCCCTCTACTTCCACGTGCTTACAGATTTCTCTTAATTTATGAGGAAGAGAATGTAAGTTAAGCAATAGTCCTTCTCTTTGCCCTTCCCTCCGCTCCTGCATCCCAGGAAATTTTGTGATGGTTTGCTGGTGCGAAACTGCCTCCAGCGGGAAGGGGTCCTGATGTGATATGCATTAGAACCACTTCTGTGCTACCTCTGATACGCTCATAAAGTTTTATAAACCTCTCAGCAGAGGTTTATAACTAGGGAGATTGGGAAGAAAATCAGAATCAGATTTGTGTGACTGGTAAGCAAGGTGCATAAATTAGCTCGGATGGAGTTGGTCCACATTCTGTTCCTGTATAACATGAAAGCACGTTGGATTCTGTTATGAGCTAGCTTTGTGTCATCCTCTCTCCACCAGCTTTAGGGAAAATGTAGAGATACTGACTATTGTGGAAAAAAGACTGGCTGTTTGCATTTTGGCTCCATTCGAGTTTTATGGCAAAAGATCCAAACAGAAACCTTTATTTGTAAGGAGGAAGTAAATATAGCTGTGAGTTTCAGATACAGAAAGGTTCAATGTGCTAGTCAAGGCCTGACCTATTTATAGTAGTTGATCTTGGAAGCATCTACTCTTGACTGACGGAAGTGTGGCAAATGATAAAGAAGTATTGCAAGAACCTTCAGTACATGCTGGGCAGCTATTTCCCTGAGAGCTTAAAGGTGAAGTTCCTGAGCATCTCATCTTTAGCGATTGCCTAGCCAACAGCAAAACATTTGTTGCTGCTGTTTCAGGAGCATGTGCAAACATAGGCACCCGCAGCAGCCTTCAACCAGGGGCTCTAGTGGTCGTGAAGGATGTGATGTGCTGGCTGGTATCAGCTGGCACTCCACTGACTTTTTACAATTATAGATATATTTGTATTTTGCCTCTTTGTGTGTGGCTGCATGTGGCGGTATTATACTGGATAAGCTAACTTACACCTTTCCAGATAGCTATTGACTGTCAAGTTCTGCTTAAGGAGAATATTCTTAAACTGTTAGTGCCGGTATCCTTATTCTTTTGTGTGGAAGAACAGCAGACAATTTCAGAGTCTGACTTTCTCTTAATGTCAGCAAGCATCTGACTGTTAGAAATTGTTGCTGTAGAGCAATGAGTCCACTAAGATAGCAGTTCTGTATTGTAGGGTGTTAGCTTACTGCTGTTTCTATATCAAAATTTAATTTAAAAAAAAAAGCATCCTTTTAGACAGGAAGCTAAGGAGAAGGATTTTCTCTGATGAATATTACTCATCCAAGCTCGTTTGCGAAGTTGTCTATTAGGTTTGGCTACTGTTTGCAAGATATACGCAAGAAAAATCTCTTTATGCCTTGTAATTACTGATTTTACACTTGTTTGATTTAGTCATCTGCTTTTTTTTTTGTAGGTATGATTGTTTTAAAGCCACCTCTTAATAAGGAATGACTTCTGAAAGTTTAAAGGGTTAAAATTTAGTCCGATTAATGCAGAGTTGTGTGTATTGTCTGGGAGAATTGGTGAAAGTGTCTTTGCATGCAATGTAACCAGTGACATACCGTTGTCCAAAAAGGTTTCATTTGATATTGCCGATTTGTTTTTCACCAAATGATATGTTAGTCAAATTAATGTGCCATTAGTGAATACTAAAGCAAGCTTGTTCTTTGTGTTTTTTCCCCCCCAGGACAAAATGTTTCACTTTTGGGTAAATACATTCTTCATAGGACTGGATGAAAATTCAGACAAAGTAGAAAATGGAAGTCTAGTTGCAGATCAGGAACTTGATGGTATTTTCAGTACAGAGCGCTCAGATAATGATAAGGAGTATTTAATCCTTACATTAACAAAAAACGATCTAGACAAAGCAAATAAAGACAAAGCCAACAGATATTTCTCTCCAAACTTCAAGGTCAGTATGTATTATCTGTAAACAAAGCTGAAAAACTGCATGCAGTTGTCTGACTTGTCTGTCTTGCCTTATGGAGGAACCATTTGAAACTGCTGTAAATGGAGAAATTGATTTCACATGAATTTTCCACCATTTAGCTAAGGTTCTACCTTTTAAAGTTTATTTGCTTTTCAGGAAGGCAACATATGGTATTGGAGTGCTTATGTTAAGATGGCAGAAAGCTGGGAGTATGGGCTTTGGTTTTGTTCCATGCTGCGTCTTCATCAAAGCCGTTAGAGACCAGTGGTAGGAAACCCAGAGACCCAGGTAGCAGTCTTCGTACCAGCCAGTCCTGTACCAGCTGCTTTGCCGTTCAGGAGGCTTTGCCCTAAGCCCCGTGGCCTTTACACAGTAATTCCTGAGCTGATTTGAAGAGGTGCCTGCTTGAAAGGACTGCCCAGTGCTATTCTCCTAGAGCCTCTGGGTTTAGCTTTGAGGAGCGTGAGCCCTTGCCACCATGGCTTATAAAAACAAACACCAAGAAGGATTTCTGAGGTATTCCGACTTGCTCATGAAATATCTATTTTGTCCATAGCAGAGCTGCAGATTTTTCCATATTCTTTCCTTTGAAGGTAATGGTCGTAATTACCTGAACACACGGGCTATAACTCGAGAGTACAAACTGTTGATGCAGATACGCAAAACTCTTTTGGTGGAGCCTGGAAAAACTGCTGTTCTGCCATTTGTTCTTTATTTTGCCGGGAGTGGTAGAGAGAGGCAGCTACCCTTACAAGAGCACTTCCTTTCCTGAGTAGAGAAAGGAGTGCTTGAGTGATTCAGCGTAGCGAAAGGAGCCATGCTGTTCAAAATTGCATTGTTACCTCTGCTCTGTTAATGTTGAGGTTCCCTTTTTAAATGTTGTTTTTTCCTTTCCTAGGTGAAGCTATTTTTCACAAAAACAGTAGAAGAGCCATCAAATCCAGAGGCTAGCAGTTCAACTTCTGTAACACCAGATGTTAGTGACAATGAACCTGATCATTATAGATACTCTGACACCACTGACTCTGATCCAGAGAATGAACCTTTTGATGAAGATCAGCATACGCAGATTACGAAAGTCTGAATATTTTTTTTATCAGAGATGGAAAAAACAAACCATGAAGAGTGACAAACTTGAATAAACTGAAAAAAAGGACCTTTTTAAATGGCAATAGGACATAGTGTCAGATTATCAATTATAGGAACAATTCTTTCCTGACCAATCTTGTTTTACCCTATAAAATATACAGGGTTTGACACTTGTCCAGTTGGAAAACAAAAAAGTTACGTAGCTCTGATATGTATATACCTTTTTGTGTCAAAAGGACATTAAAACTTCAATTAGGAACTATAAAGATGGCACTTTCCCATTTTATTCCAGTTTTATAAAAGTGGAGACAGACCTAATGTGTATACGTAGGAATTTTTCCTTTTGTGTTCTGTCACCAAACAAAGTTTCGAAAAAGCGCAAGTATACAGGTTCACATCCTGCCCCTTTTTTTGCACTTATGTGGCAACAGAAAAGTCTGCAGTTGGCTAAGAGAAGTTTTCTAGAAGGTTTTACTACATTCTAATGCATGTATTTTGGATGGGGGATGGAAAGTAATGCTCAGAAAGGAATAGAGGCTGCTGGAGCTTGGCCTGTGTACCATATCCAGCTATTTACATGCACCTTTCTTTAGCATGCTACCGTAATTCATCCTGGACAGTTGAAGAGTCGGCCGCTGTCACTGCTTGTTGTTTGTGCATTTTATTTTTTTTTAAGTGTAATGGTGCTAGAAAAGGCAGCTAGAGGGAGTGATTCTGTATAGGGGTACAGGAATGAACCTTCACAACATCCTAAAGACCCACAAATGAAGGGATAAAAATTATTGGGGTCACAGAGAGGAGGAAAAAAAAAGAAAAAAAACACAGCAACAATGACTTAACCATACAAATGTGGAGGCTATCACCTAAAATACGGGCTTGAAACAAATTGTTACAAAATTTGACAATGATTTTATTAACTGTTTTTTCCGAATTGTAATGGCTGCTCCATCTCCTGTGTAATCAAGGCCAGTGCTAAAAGTCAAATGCTATTAGTACATACATCAGTCAACATCTTACATTTATATTATTAGTTTTTCAATCATATTCCTGCT